TCTTGGTGTAAACACGTGTTCGTTACGCTTGGCGATACTCCAAATTGTAGAGTCTGAACGAACGCCCCGCCGTGTACGCGATAAATTTTACATGAAATTGGGTGAAACGTTAGCCGAGACCTTCCGAGATGTTGCGACAAGCATTTGGCGACGAAACCGTGTAGGCGACGACTTACGAGCGGAACGGTGTATCGACGCCAATCTACCGACGAGGAATCGTCCAACGAGGAATCGTCCAACGAGGAATCGACCGGCTCTGATTTTTCGGGAACTTGGCACGGGAGCAGAAAAAGATATTGTATTCTTTTATATTTTTCGATATTATTAGAACGAGGAATACGAAAGTTGAAGACCAACCCTTAAACGTGCGGATGGAATAGCTATTTAGACGTTCGGTGTATTTTAATTAAGTTTTTCTAGAAGAGATTTTTTTATTGAAATTGTATATGATTTTATGAAAGACAAATCCTTAATAGAATGGTAATACCTATTTGGACGTTGAGTGTACTTTAATTAAGTTTCTCTGGAAAAGAGATTTTTTATTAAAATTGAATTATTGGAATGTTATTTGGTTTTGTGTTCTACAAAAAAGAAGAAGAGAACGAGAAGAATATGATTTCGTTAAAAAGAAGATAGTGATAAACCTGAAATTCCTTTCAAAAATGACCTTCGAAAAAATTTGTCCAACCCACTGTTGAATTGATTGAATCTAAATATTGTATTTAGTTCAATAAAAAAAATGAATCACAATTCTGTTCGAAGTCCTCGCGGTTCTCACTTTAAAATAAACTATATTATTTTATATTTTGTTTCGACCCATAATCCAACACCCACAGTGTACCTTTATGTTATACATAGATACGTAGATAATTTTCATAGAGTAGTAAATACGATAAACTTGCGCAATTTACGCTTGTCCACAAGAAGCATAACCAAAGCACATCTTAATTAAGAAAACGCTACATTTATAAGAACCCAATCCAAGTGACTACAGTGGCCTTCATATCCAATTCTAATTTCTTCCACCACCATCAATTTTTAACGCCTCTAAATGCCTACCGGCCACTGAATTAAAATCGAAGATTTCTCGATATTCCTTCGTTCCATCTGAGATAAACGTACAACGAGCCGTGTAATTTCCCCTGTTAACCGGCCGCTCGTTTTTCTTTGAATCTGGGATCGGAGTTACCTGTTCCGAGGTAACAGGTTGTTTTAATGCAACCGCAACGTCGAAACAAGAGGGGCCGACATAACGGATCGTGGGTATGTATACCTATCGGTGCTGCCGCATGGTCGAAGGGTTCGCCGTTGGTTATCGTTGTTGAAACCGGAGCGGTGTTCCCTGGCGCTGGATATACTGACCAGCTGTTAACCGAATGTATTGCGATCAATTTGTGAATATTCGCGATAAATTAGCCGAGCAAAGAGGTCGTTAACGGCCGACTGCGACTAGATAGGCCGTGTCGATGAACACCGGAAAAATTATTACCTCCTTGATACCCTAGGTACAGATACCCTAGGTACAGATACCCTAGGCATAGATATCATCCTAGGCATAGGCATTGCCTTTCCAGGCAATTTTATAGACTTTTTTGCGCCCAATGCGCTTGACAGAAACTTTTGAAACTTGGTACGTGTTGTATATCAAGTATAGGTTGTTTGAGTTAATAGGGAATATTGAACAATTTCGAGGTGTGGAATTTAATCTATTTGAACCGAGCACTTATACTTATAGATATGTATGAAGGGTACTACTGTATATACTCAAGTTACACACTGTCATCTAACAATACGTCCCAAAAATATTGGATGTCCTTGAAAGGAGCTGTTCTGGAGGTGATTTGAAACAACTTTTTCCTTAGCAAAAATGTTGTCCGAGGCTTCGTTAAGGAGATATTAATGGAAAACCCCGACTAATCAGAGCGCGAGTATGCCGGTGGAGCGCCCGCAGTAGTATAAGGTACGCGCTAGACAGTCGCAGTAGCATAGACTACGCGCTCGGCGGCCGCACTCTAATTGGTCGAGATTTTCTGTTAATATCTTAACGAAGCCTCGGACATTTTCGCTGAGGAAAAAATTGTTTCAAATCATATGTATAAGGTTATTTAAAATGTTCAACCATCTTGCTCAATTAATTTATAAATTGCGTATGATATTCGACGCAGCTAATGAGATCGTACGTGATCACAAACGGTTATACCTTTGGCAATTTTGACATTTGTTTAATATGATTCGATAGCAATATTTAAGAGACCTCAAACAACAAGAATATCGACAAGCTCGAATAGTATATCGAATGACCACCATATGACCCCTTTGAAGTTTCACGTTCGACCAGCCTGACGAGCCTCTAATGCGAACAATTATAACATCAGCAATTAAACAATTCTTTCAACATAATTTGCTAGAAATATTCCAAGGCCTCGAGCAAGAAAAATACCAACAAAAATCTATGTTTCGACCCAAAAGAAAAGAGTACCTCATGAGTTCGAGTGGAATATCGAACGACCTCCAGAGGTCAGACCGAACAGAAGTCCAGAGGTCGAAAGAGTAAATGTACGAAGGAAATGGAAACCACGTTGCGGGTTCGGATGTCGTAACTCTTTCGGGGTCAAATAACGTTCGACAAACTGACGGAATTAAAAGCACAACGCGAAGAAGCGAATAGATGGGGAAGGATGGCGGGAGCCGACGGAAATGAGAAGAAAATTAAGACCTAAAGTCGGCGAGGAAGAAGGGATGTTAACGTTTGAGGTGTACCGCACTCGGAGCTTTCGTTCTATCGAAGATACACACGCTATACCCAACGGCGTTCCACCTTCTCATCTACCAAAGCGGGCCAGTAACCTAGCAACACCCTCAATACCACTTCAACCTGTTCGCCCAACACCTTGGGTTTCAATTCACCTTATCTTTGCTATCTTCCTTGCGCTCTGTACGTTTCTAACCCATCCAGTACTCGACTAAGAAGTCTCGCGATTCGGTTAAAAATGCTGGGAACAACGAGGGAGACGGTTCGAGCTAATCTTTTCCCGTTGGATTAGATCCCGTGTAATTGGAAATTCAGGTGTACGTGTTAATGTAATTGGATTATGTCATGCTCTCGTGGAATTGCTCAAGTATATGAGGCGTTGTAATGTATTGAACAGAAATTTATGGACGTGTTGTTGTTTGAAAAAGTATCGACTTTGAGTTCAAGTCACGTTCGGTATAAAGAATGAAACATTTATGATAGAATTATATGAATATTGATTTCAAACAGGTAGAAATTGAGTTACGAATATAAAAACGAATTGAAAGTCCGATACGTTTGTAAAAAGCAACGCAATTCAACCAAATAACCGACAGTTGGGATGATTAATTTCAATGTCGAGGAAACGTTTCTCCGAAATTTCGGCTCCGTAACTTCGTCTTCTATGTTCGTGGCCGTTTCGACCCCCGTACAAACACGAAAGGACCAGGAATCCGCAAGAAGTTCCGGTTATTTAGAGGGCCTCCTCCAATTTACGAACTGAAAGGTTTTTTGCCCCGTGTTTGCAACGAACTTTCGCAGAAGACGTACCCGAGGTAACCGTATCTTCGAACTGCGGCGAGAACTTTATAAACATTACCGCTTCTTGCGAACTATCTGTCCCACGAAAGAAATATCGCTCAAATTGTAATATCTTTTCCTAGGGAAAGATTCGTACCCATACATTTCTTTTGTCGAATAATTACTCTGCGTACGAGATAGATACTTAAGTATTAGTTGATATTATAAAAGTATAAACGAAGAATAAAGGCTGCTTTTCCCTACCGAGCCATCCATTACCGTTCGTGTTCTTATTTGACACGGTATTAAATATGAGAAACGAGATACAACATATTCTTTAAATATCATAACGGTGATATTCTTATTCATCTCGTTTCCTTCTTTCTACGCCTAGAAGCTACATAACCTATATACGGTTGTCTTCGTTGCACGTACACGGAACGTGTTTACGATACAAGTTGAAGTTACCTCTAACGATACTTTTATTTCGAGCCCGACAATAAAGAACTTTACACCGAACTTCCACGAAAATTTGAAAGATATTCCCGGGCAAACAACTTCGAAAGCCACGGGAAACACGAAAGAAACTTTGCGTGTGCGCTATTCAGAACAGAAGTAGTTGCCAAAGCGAAACCTTACACCGGTCCTTGAAATATGATGCCTCTCGTTTTGTTCCTTCAGGTCTCGAACGCGGGGCGTTAGAACTTTCTTTGTTTACAGCGAAACATATTACGCCTGATTGCATCATCCTTTTTCCGCGTTAAACTCCTCGATCCGGAATTCTTTTACTCTCGGTAGAAAACAAATATTTCTCGTTTTCCTGAAATTCATTATATACAATTATTAATATTTATGGACACTAGGAGGACACTTATTCATTTTTTTCTGACGCGACGTAATTATTATACGATGCTTCTCTAAGCACTGTACATTAGAGGGATGTCGCAGGCCATTCACGTTTATGATAGAAATATCATCATGTGTCGGAGAAAAAAATTGCAATGGTTTCAACGCCACTTTTACGAGAAACCAGTCTCCACGGAAGATTATATTATTCTAAGCAATTGTTTAGAATTGAAAAACATAACCTTAAAAATCACGCGTGTATGTAAAACGTAACCTTAAAAAGTCACGCATGTAATCACGTACATGTATAACAGGTCTAAAGAGCTTAATTAAAATCAATATTAATATCCTATGAAAATCAAGGCAAACTCGTTCGTAATGAGTCTCTCTATTTATTCTCAGAAGAAGTACTTAACCTCTACGCGTTTTTCTGCCACAATAAATATACCAAAATATAGAAAAAGAACTGCTAATAAAATATAAATTGTTCGTTCTACCACGACATCCTTCAATAAAATTCGACACCTTCGAAGCACGGACGCGTACACCACCGTGATTGAAAGTGCGAAGGAAAAGCATGCGCGGAGCAGCATTCAAAACTCATGCATTATTTGTAACATACCTGGTACGACCTGTTGCTTGTTGTAAGGGCGATCAAAGCCGAGGTTAAGACTCTCCATGGATCACAGCGTGCCACGTAATCACAGTTTGCCAGATTCCTTCGTAAATATGTATGTTCATTCGATACTTTCACGGTGAACATCGTGCCGAAGGTAGATTTTCTAGACAACAGAGGGCGACACGAAATAGGAACGCCAATAATTCTACGAGAGACGAGCGACCCTCGTCGATCACAAATTCGCGATATCACGTTCGATTTTACGATCACTGACACTTTTCGAAAGAATAGTCGAAACTACGCGACGGAAACAATATTCCTACAACGTTTGAGAGTGTTCAGTGAAATATTACACGTTAATTTCGCACTATCTAAGCGGAGACAAAACCCGCGAACGTTCCTCGACAAAATAATGGCGCCTGTGGCGCGCGATCGAGCGAGAAATTATGTATCCATGTTCGATACGTAGCGTTATCGATCGATTTAACAAACTCGAAAATTGCCGCCCGGAGTACCGCGAAAATTTGAAATTGGTTAATTTACGACCAGCAGCTCATTAATTCGCGTACATGTTTGCACGAATGAATATTAATAAATCAGCATTTTTTTCTCCGTTTCGGGAGAAAATTCTGTTATTAATATTCATGGATACCATAGTCGATTCTTTTTCGTTTTTAGCGAACATGGGGTTTGGTAACGAGGTTAGATAGGTCCGTACGAATTATTTAGAACAAATTCGGTAATAAATATCTTGATTAATGAAAATTAACGAATACAATATTTTTTTATTAATTAATTATATCCTATCCTCGCTAGAAACCTCGACTGACAGACAGGTCTCGAGGTTCTCAGACGATGAAACCTCGAAGGAAGTTAGCCAATTACGCGAAAAAGAAATTATTTATCCTGACGCGCTAATAACCCGTCGGGACAGCGTAAAGGCAGAACGAGCCATCGTTTGAATCACGGCAAAATTTCAAACAGCAACGAAGCCCGTCGCCGTATGTGTTGGGAATCCAGGGTATCGTGACAATTTAAAGGGCTCATGAATCCAAACGAATCCGATGTGGCACGTTAATTAAACTTATACTTAACTTGCAGCTCGGCCGGAACGTGCAGCTGCCAAAAGTATTACGCGAACTCGCCGAGCAATCTAAATGCGCGTTGCCATAAGGGGAGGCTCGATCTGCACGGACAGTTCCCGCATGGGCGCCAGGCATCTACGTCTGCCGATGTATACGTGTCTCTATCTATGTGCACGTACACCGAGTTACGCTTCACGCATTATAGGTAGCGAGCACTTGAGTTATAAGATTGCCATGGACACTTGCCAGGGTAATATCAAACTTCGAAGCTCCACCCAGAACCACCCACTCGTCCGTCGACCGCGTCTACGTGGACGTGTCATGCACATGCACGTGCAAGACACAATCGCCCGATCGCGATGGTAAGCTTCGTTATCAAGCACGCCCACGTGTGAGCCTGATGCCTCGTGGCTTAACTCCTTTATGCTCCCCAGCTTCTGCCCAAGTTCTGTCTCTCTCCCTCGTGGCTTCTACCCCATCAACGCACAATCCTAATTATGCGCTATTGATGACACGAATTAACGATCGGCCCTCTGAAGGACGTAACGATACAGCGGCTCGTTTCTTTGGCCCTGTACAGGGGGGATTTCTCTGGCCAAAGGGATCGAATCGCCACGCAACGAACATGAAATTTCACTTCTCCCGGGGGACCGTGTACTTTCATAGCGAACAAGTTTTTGATGTATCGTGAGCTCAGGTAGGAGGGGCTAGAGAGTACCGAGCTCAGTTACAGGGGGGTTGAAGGTAATGAGTTTAACTATAGGAGGCTAGAGGTTACTCTGAGCCGAGCTATAGGGGGCTGGAGGGTACTGAGCTCAGCTACAGGGGATTAAATAGGACTGAGCTTAATAATAGAAGGCTAGAGGGTACTGAGCTTAACTATAGGAGACTAGAGGTTACTCTGAGCTGAGCTATAGGGGGGCTGGAGGGTACTGAGCTCAGCTACAGGGAACTAAAGTGTACTGAGCTTAACTATAGGAGGCTAAAAGGTACTGAGCTCAGTTAGAGGGGGCTAGAAAATACTAAGTTTAAGTATAGGAGGCTAGAGGTTACTCTGCGCTGAGCTATAGTGGTCTAGAAGGTACTGAGCTCAGTTAGAGGGGGGCTAGAGAGTACTGAGCTTAACTATGTGAGGCTAGAGGTTACTCTGGGCTAAGCTATAGTGGGCTAGAGAGTACTGAGCTTAATCTATGGGGGGAATAGAGAGTACTGAGCTCAGCTGCAGGGGTCTAGAGAGTACAACGAACGATAAGAGAACAATCCGCTCGATACAACCCTACTTCCGCGAAATATTCAATCTGTTCAACCAACCCAATGCCTGATCGAGCGCTAAACTCGTTCGATTGGCTTCGGAACACCGGGCGTGCGTCGCACAAAAGAATTCCCAGTTTCAGCAATTACTCGAGCCTTCGCTAGGTCAGACGTTCAGCGAAGGAATCTGATTTAGCGCAATTGTCGAGTAGTCACCTCACGGAGGACATCTCCACCCACCTCCCCTCTCCTGTGACGCGTAAATGAGATTGGAAGGAAGAAAAGGGCCGCCCAAGGAAACGCGTGATTACGATAATTCAATCGCGGATCTTCGTCATGCCGTCGCATCGACAACGGCCGACGAAGGTACCCCGTCGAAGAACAGGGGGACCTTAAAGGATAGTTTGCTTATTCCGGTCACAATGTGAGCGTCACCGTCGACTGCGTTCATCCCTCCTTTTGCGACCATCGACGCCGACGTACTGACGCTAATGCATATTCAATGTTACATCCATGCCCGGAGTATCCAGAGCGACGCTCCTTCCGAAGGGACGGTGCGTCCTTGTTTACGGGATGACTCTTCAAATTCTTCGATGTCTCCATCATACCCCATCCCGATTCCCAGAGTGCTCCCCGTGGAATTTCCAGGGGGATGAGCGAAAAATGAACCATTTTCCGAGTTCTCAAACCGGTGGACCTGTTGGTTCGAAATCGTTTCTGGAACTCGGTGAAGATGTTTTAATTTATTGATCGGAGTGGGTGGCGATACTAATTTTTTGTGCGGAATTTGAAGTTATACACACAGGTGACATTAGGGAATTGTTTCGTTTGTGTTTCATAGTATTTACAGGCTACTTTTATTCGTCTATATGTATTGCACTTTTCTGATACTTTTTTCTTACGGACCCCTTTTCGCATTATCATCCTATTTTTTCCATTACTTATCTTTACACCACCCTCTCTTTTGGTACTTTTTATATTTAGCCATGCCTTGAAAAACTGGGACGGACCCCGCTCGGGATTCGAACCCGTGATCTCAGCGTGGTAGTCGGCTACGCTACGCACTGCTCCACCGTCTCAATTGGGAATTGAATTAGTAAAAAAATAAAGAAGTGGGGAAATAGACAAAGGAAAAGATGTAACACCTTCGAAAATTATGTAGTTTAGCACTAAACTTCACCGCGATCATTCAAATTAGAAACTTTTCAAATCTTTATCTACACTTTCTTATGTACAATATATAAATTATACACGCAATACATTATTCGACGTATCGTTCAATTCAGTCCCACGTGAAATATATTTCCATACGATAGAAAAGAGTATCTTTAAATAAAAGTGTGTTCGCTAAGTGTGTTCGCTAAGTGTGTTCGTTTAATTTAAATACAAGCGCATCTCATCGAGACAATAGAATAGGAACGACTCATTTCGTGGTACCCCAGGGATAAACGCGACTGCAAGTCAATTCGAACGATCACACATATCGGGTTCGCTGATAAAACGAAGCCTTTGTACAATTTTTCATTATTATTCCATTCACAATTCCTCAGACACCCGGCTCTCTCACAAAAGATTCCATCGCTATTTTTGAATAGTATTACGTCCATGCGCCCGGATGATCGATTTCCTCGAGGTGGATAAAACCTTTTCTCAGCACATATTCTTTCACACGTACGTGGATATAACCTACAATCGCGCTGCTTACACGCGGCAGCTCCTTAATATTTCCCCGACACTTTCGCGGGCGCGCCATATGAAGTCCACGCGGGCTCGATTCGATGGAATAATAAGTTTCTATACCGGTTTCGCTCTGCGGAATCTCACGCCAGGGCGTTTCTGCAAAAATTCTGTATCGCTCGGATCGTATCTTTTTTTTCCGCCGTTCGTTATAATTCCTTATCGCGTTACGGTTCGCACGCTTGAATTATTTTCTCTGATAAATTCGTTTTGTTTATTTCTCTCTCTCTCTCTCTATACGTATTTCTCTTATTAGAGAGGAACGTTACGAGTTCTCGATTCTACGCGTTACTTTACCTTTTCAGCTCGGCGGGCAACATCGATATATGTATTTCTGCATACTGATCAAAAGTACACAAGATACGTTCGTCCGTCGGGCAATCTCATTGGCGATTCTGCGTGCCGGCGCGTACCGTCGCTGCGCTGCGCGACTACAAATATCGCGGAAGGATAAATAAGAATCGCAATAAAGATCCCCTAATGGCAACATGGGACCGTTAGGCGAGGCGTAGTCGCGCCGTTAAGCCGTAACTCGTGCCAAAAGTTCTCCGCCGACAATTGCGCCCGTCCAATAGGGTTATTAATATCTAATACTTGACGGCGAAATGCACCCTCCATTAGGTGCTAATTAACAAAGGTTGTTACCGCTAGATTGCCGAAGCCATCTTCGCGCTATTTACCGACCGCTATTACATTCTACGCCTAATTAAAAACACTGGAGCGACGAAGACTCTCCAACTATTCCAAAATTAAACACGCCGAGCCGTGATATATTATAAACACGTTCTTAACGAATTTTCAGCTCGGTTCCTGCTTGCGATATAATATTGGGTCGTTCAAAAAGTTCCTGGCAATTTGTAAGAAAGATTCAATGGCACATTTGAGGTTTGATATATTCATTGAATTATATAAGTACAATTTTGTTCCACAACTCTTTCCACCTTTTAAGGGTTGTGCATACAGTCAATGTAGTAAGCATTCGTACAGGAATCAATTTGAAATAAAACTTCGTATATTTATTTTATTAATAAATTTTAGAGGAAAAAATAATTAACCAACATTCCTATGTATCTTTAGACTATGCTTTGCATAATTATGTTTTACTACCTTAGAATAGAATTTGTATAAATAAAAATTTATCATATTCAATGTTAGCCTCTTATTTCTTGTCTTATTAATTTTATTTTAAATTGGTTGCTGTACGAAATACTTCTTACACCGACTGTATGTTATTTGTTTTCCATTCCAACATATTCGGACCTTCTAATAAATATTGCCAGACTTTCCAGACAAACCAATAATAATAATTCTTTTGAAACG